ATTCCAAACGCAAGTCCCTGATTGGGACTAATTTGGTCCCAGTCGGGGAACACTTTTTGGTCCAACTTTCTCCGAATTGAAATCCGTTTGCACCGTTGTGATCGTACATTTAAACTCTATCGAACGATATAATTTTCATATTTATTTGTAATACTTTTTCCGACATCATATTTTTGGGTGGTTGACTTTGACAGAGTCAAAATTGATTTAATTGACTTTTACTCAAAAAGGTTCTTACATTTCATTTATATTATTTATTCTCATGATTTATTTCAATAAATCATTTCAAAGTTCATATCATAAATAAATTTCTTAATTTATCCTTGATTTGGGTCTGTACTTAGGTTCCCAATCAAGGTCACACAGTAAGTCAACATATTGGATTGATCTCTATGAGATTTATCCGGATCATGATATTGGATATCAAAACATATTTTATTTTGGCCCAAGGCCCAACAACAATTTATTTTTAATCAAAACAAATTTGATTAATTAGTTAATAATTCATTAATAATTCTAGGGTATGTTTTGGGGCGTTACAATGATTTCCTCAATTATGGGTCATTTTGCCTTCTTTTTTGTTCTATTATTTTCTTTTGAAGAAGACAAAGATGATGGTGATTTTGGTTTTCCGATCCACTTCCTCATCTTATCAAAGATCTTCTTGGTGACGGACTTAGTGACTCTCTTTGTAATGTTCTCTTCCAATTGAGTTATCCTTTCATCCAAGTACTTATTTAAAGTTGGATCAATGTTGGTGTGTGCAGAACGGGAGCGAGGCATAGATGAAGCACGTGGAACCTCAACGCTCGATAGAGGGTTTGTAGAGAATGAACCGTCAAATTTACTCAAGTTGTGCTCATGTCTCCACCGGTTTCTCTCTTTAACCAGGATTTGGTTGTAGGAAGCTTCAGTGTGAAATCCATCAAAGTGTTGAAAGACCTTTGATCGTTGAAGGCTTGTGGCATCCATCTTCTTGTAGTCGTAGTTCCTACCTTGGTATTTTTCAAGCTTTATTTTTTCCTTTCGAAACACTTTGGTCAATGCCATTCCATACGGAAGTTGTCCATGACTTTTGTGAATTCACATATGGTTCATTATCATCACGGGGAACCTAATATGGGAATTCACTTCCAAGAGTTAAACAATGGCACACTCAATCATACCAACAAGGGAGTTGTTGCTTCTGGTAGGTAATAAACATTCTTTCGGAATTTTCAAAAGAATTTGTTGATTAACATTTAAAAATTCTCTTTTAGGCCTAACAGTTCTAAAATACTCAACTCCATTGTGTAGGCTATCAATTCATCTAGCTAGAGTGTCACCCTTGATGCCCCAACCATATCTATCATACATCTCAAATCCATCACGGTTATCAACAATCTCAAAACATTCACAACTTTCCTCAATTCCAAGGATTATAGTTTTGTTCTTCACCCTAGATTTGAAAAAAGGAGTTTCTTCTTCTTGTTCTTCATTAACCTTAGTTTCCCAAGAGAGATCATCATAGAAATCATAAACAAGCTCATCATACACCAATTCATCTATTGCAACAAATCCTAGGAACCCTTGAAGCGTAAGAACCGAGATAATGAATTGGGGGAAATCCGGTAGGTTTAGAATCTTACCCGGAGCAATCATGCGCTTGTTGGTGTTCTTCTTGAGAGCCATGGGAGATGATATCTTGGGGCTTGGATGGCTTGATTCCTTGAAAGATTGAGAGAGAGAAACGAAATTGAGGAGTTGCAGACGTCGGACGGAGGAGATGATATGAGCTGCGGTCGAGTAGATCTAAAAAAGGGTTTTGACCTTTTAATTTTGCGTCGACGGTCGATCTATTGGACCGTTCTTATCCCACGGTCGACCGTTCGTATGGAAGGCTACTGGACCAAATTTTCACGGTTGATACGATGCACCGTTCAAATACCACGGTCGACCGTTTTAGTCACAGAACGAGGTCCAATTTTGATTGCTACAGACAGTTGACTAGATGGACCATTGTTATTCTGTGGTTGACCATCTGTCGATGCCTTGTCTAACCCTTTGTTCTCCGGCACTAACGGTCCACATGCTGGACCATTGTATATGGCAGTCGATCGTTGCATTTCTAGTGTCCCTTGATATTTTAACTCCTCCAATCCTCTTATTGTGAATTTTGATGATGACGATGATGATGTGATGTTGACAAACATGATATTGATTATATTAAATATATGAAAGATAAAAGTGACTTACCTTGGCTTGTCCGTGCAATTACAGATTCCAATTTACCTTTGTGACACAACAATATCTTGGCTTGATTTTTCTTGGCTCGGGGAGAGGAATGTAAGTACCTCTTTCTCTATTGTAGTAGAATAAGTAATATGGCTTGTGTTGTTCTTCTTCTTTGACATTTTTATTTTCATGTCTTGATTCGTTGGTGAATGTTTGTCCCTTATTATATTTCCCTTTCTTCGAGACTTTTCAACTTTGGTTATGAACCTGCAAAAAGGAATTCGAACACCGATCCCATTTTCTTTGGATTCTAACTGGTTAGTAGAAGAGCCTTTTTCCACCCATTTAGGTCTTTCCGATATGAGCGCAACATTATTCGACTCAACCAAATGCTCGACATTTGGCATAAGTATGACCAAAATGCATACAATAATTACATCTGTTAAAAGTAGCATTTGATGAGTGAGATTTAGGAACTTTTGGAGAGTTCGAAGATATCTTAGAAAGTTTTCCAACCACCTTTTCGGTTTTATTTGTTGAACAAATTTCTAAGTTACTTGAAGAATTGTACGTTTTCAAAACTTCATTTTCTTTTTGAATAATCTTTATGTGGTTACAAAAGTAAATCCTTCTTTTCACGTATGGTACAGAAAAAGATTGTTTTGACACTCATCAAATGCATCTTTTAATTCTTCCAAAGTAAAACCACAATTGGATGAACAAGAGAGGTTTGATGATACCACGAGATTGATTCGTTCTTGTGAACTCGTATTTTCCGTGGTTGATCCTTCCACGTCTTCGAATTGCTCATTTTGAGTTCCGTACGCTTCTTCTAGTGAATCCGATATTTCTTTAGCCGTTTGGCACTTGTTTACAATTGAAATGATTTCGGTGCAAAGTGAATTTCTTAGCACATGACATGCCACAGTGTTGAACTTTTCGTCCAACTTTCCTGAAAATTTTCTCGGCCCAAGTGGATCATAATGTATAGCAACCCATAAATGATAGATAATCAATAGATTTGAGAAATATTTCCATCCTTTTTTTCCAATAGGAAAAATTTTCTGCAGTGAAGAAAGGAGATTGAAAAATATCCATAAAAAAATTAGACTAATTAAAAAATATGTTTTTTTTTAAATTTATTTGGGCACAAATAGATCCTTTTTGTAGATGCGGTTAGAACTTTTACTACGAACCAGCTCTGATACCAATTGTTAGACTATGTGCCCACGCCTTAGAGAGGGAAGGGGGTGAATAAGACATTAAAATAAGTTTAAAAACTTTTTCAACTTTGTCCCTTTTATTTGAGTCAAATCGTGCTTTAAAAAATAATTGCGTTAAAATAAATTTTGAGTAATAAATGCAATAAAGAAAAGCATAAAGTAAGTGCACCGCATTTTATACTAGTTCGGGAACTCCCTACTCCAGTACCTTAAGGCTCCTCCTTAAGGATTAAAACGTTTTCAACTTTGTCCCTTTTATTTGAGTCAAATGGTGTTTTAAAAAATAATTGCGTTAAAATAAATTTTGAGTAATAAATGCAATAAAGAAAAGCATAAAGTAAGTGCACCGCATTTTATACTGGTTCGGGAACTCCCTACTCCAGTACCTTAAGACTCCTCCTTAAGGATTTCCAATCCACTAGAACGCCTTGACCGTCTCAACACGATCGTCACAGCGGAACCAGTTTTTGGCAAACAAACCTTTGACAATAGGTTTACACTAGATCGACAATACTTCACGCCTTGAAGTATCCAACTAGCTTGAGGATTTTCCAACGGCTTTCCCCAACCGTGTACCGAAGATTTGCGTGATGTCTTTAACCTAGAGATTTTGCAACGACTATCTCCAACCGTCTCAACAAGGATTTCACATATGTCCTTGACCGCTTCCGGAGATTTCACCAGGGTTATCTCCAACCTTTCTTCAATGAAGAAATTCGCAACGGATATCTTTGTCCGATTACAAAGAATATGAAAATTGAATAATAATATGAATCAACACCACCTCAAGAATATAAAATACAAAGTCGGGTTGGTGTGATAATATTTATAAACTCTAACAATTACACCACTCTTATAGATGGTATGAGTGCATATCTCTTTGCATCAAGCTCAACGTGTGTTCAAGAAAATATAATAAAAAATGGATCTTAATAGCCTAATATAAAAATCAAAGATTTTTAATATATGAACACTAAGTAAAAAGAATAAAGAGATTTGAGCAAAGCTTGATTAGTTTAAAACATTGAAATGGTTTGGGTATTTATAGGGATGGGGTAGGAGTTGTTTGAAATAAAAAATAGCTGTTTGAAAAGAATAATTAACTCCTAATACCATAATTAAGAGAATCAAACCGTTGGTGTATTTTCTGTTGGATTTTTTTTAGATAAATTGGACATTTTCGTAAATAAATTGGTAGGGTCCACGAAATTATTTTCTGAAATAATTATGGAGGTTTAATCTCGTAAGTGAGATAAGTGTTTCGACATATTACACGCCAAAAATGGTGCTCAGGTGAATAAGAAATTAATTCACAAAGTCGAATACGCGGAAAGAGTAAAAGTCGTTGTCCCACACCGGATCTTGAACCTTTCGTATTCTCATATTTAAACTTAAGCATTTAATTTAGCTTATGAAAGGAACAAGAAAGAACTCCTCGCGTGCTACCGCCGCCGCCGCCCGTCCGGCTCGGCACACACAGCACGGAACGGTACGACACGACACGACTGGGGCGAGGCGCGGTGAGGCAGGGCGCGGCGCGCGCACCGCGCCTGTGCCTGTGGCGTGGCTCTTTTTAACGACACTAAAACGAACACGTGTGGACACTTCGTTAATAACGAAGTGGCGGAAGTCATTAAAGGTATGCGTGCACACCATTGAAGGATCTCTATGTGATCCCTCGGTTTGTCCGTCCGTTCATCCAGGATTGCCCTATATAAAGGGAGCACCTTGCTGCAGAGAAAAACACTTGTACACTGCGTCCAACAGTCTCTCGTTCTAATATTCGGGCAGATATATCTTCATCATTCTCGTTCGTCGGCACAAGATTTTACCGCTCTTGATCTTGTGCGTTGGCAGTTTCATCCTAGGAGGAGATCCTTCACGTTAGCCAGTGCGGGAGGCGGGCGATACTACTATAAGGAAAGCTCTGGCGACTCCGCTTTCCTAAACTTTTCTTTTTCTAAGGCACTGTTAGTACGATTCCCCTTTCTTCGCTCGGTCATTTGTTCTAGTGAAGCAGTGCGATCGTTCTAGTAAAGAAGATTGTTTGTTCCTTCCTTGTTCAGTTCACCCTTCGGCTTCCAACCTTCCGGTGACCCTCGATTATCATTTTTTTTAATTCTTTTTGTTGTAAAATCCGAACGTATTATAAGTTCGGATTATTTTAATTTTTATTTTTCATTCTCGCTGTAATATTTAACAACCCTCGGGTTTGTCCCGAAGATATTCACCTCGGTGACAACTACGCAGTGGTCCAAGTTGTCGAGATCTACGCACATGGCTTCAGTGATCTTCTTCTTATTCTTTTGTGGCTTATTTTTTCTACAATCGGAGGAACGGTGCCTTGTAATGCCACAACTGTAGCACTTCCCTGCAAATTTAGAAACGCAACCTTTAGGACCTATTTTCTTTTTGTCCTTTCCGCCATGTGAAGAGCCCGAAGGATGTTCTACCACATTCGCCCTTGCCCCTCCACCTCTTCTGGCAAGCCCTTCCTCTCGGATCCTCAATCGCATGAGCAGGTTCTCCAGATTCAGTTATATTCTTTTGAGCTTGAGATCGGCTTGGAAGTCTTCCCAAGAGCATGGAAGTTTGTGAATAATGGCCGCCACTTGAAAGGCCTCGCTGATGCCTACTTTCTCTTCATTGCACTTCTTGGAGATTACCATAAGCTCCTGAGCCTTGGCGACAACAGATTTGCTGTCAACCATCTTGTAGTCCAGCATCTTCCCGACGATGAACTTCTTCGTGCCGTAATCTTCAGCTTGATACTTCTTGTTCAAGCTACTCCAAAGCTCCTTTGTAATCTTTGCACCAGCATAGACGGGGTACAACGTCTCGGCTAACCCCTCAAGGATGTAGTTGATGGTGAGATAGTTATTATGGTACCATGTTTGGTTCACCATCACCACGAGGGGGTCATTGCTTTCGTTTGGTTGGGGAGGATCTTGCTGTAGGTACTCAGCAAATCCCAGGATGGTCAAAAAGAACGTCATCTTTTGTCGCCACATTTTGAAGTTCGAGCCATTGAACTTCGCTGGCCTTTGGACCATACTAGCGGGCACAGAAATTGGCCCAATTGCATTAGGCGTATCTAGGAAAGGTCCATTCACTACGTCAAAAATAGATGCTCACAACTGTTTCTTTTAGTAGTCTCGCGGTGCTGATTTCAGTAGTCTTCCGAGCAGCTGTCTAATATATATACAGACTATTGTTTAAAAACAATTGTGTAAAATGGTTGACGACACTTGTTTTGTAAAGTTTTAGAGTACGACTTTTTAGTGTTGTCCTTGTATGAGTAAGACATTTGTTTTTTAGAGTTAAAGAGAACTGTGATTTTTTGTTGTCTATCTATAATGAATACTACTGTTGTTTTTAACTTTAGACTCCTAATTCTTGGTTTTGTCATTCAACAATATAGACATCTACTTTAAAAAGTAATTGAAAGATATATCAGACTGCTGCTCGGAAGACTACTAAACAAAAATAGCATCAAGCAACTGTTATCTTTTGTTGTATTTCTAGAATATGGACTACTAACATTATTCTTATTCAAACTACTGTTTGTTTTAGTTGTATATTGATTATTAACACAACCGTGTTTTGTAGTAATCTTTGACGTATTCAAACTATCTTTTATAACATTAGTTGAATTGTTTAACAGATTGGTACTCTAAAGATTACCAAAGAAATTTGCTTCAGACAACTATTATTTCACGTTGTATTTTAAAAATATGAACTACTATTTTTGTAGTATTTCAAACAACTGTTTGTTTTGATCGTCTAAATGTTATTAACACTACGGGTTTGTGTAGTTGTACATACACTTTTCAAACTATTACTTTGAATGGTGGTTGAATTTTTTATTAGACGTCTGTTATCTTGTGTTGATTACCAAATAAATATAAATTCAAAAAATACAAAATATTGAAAAATATATAAATTCATACATTTAAAATATCATTAACATCTAATAATTTAATATTTACATCATCTTCCGTACAATTTGCATATTCTACATGTCTGCCTCTTCAATCCATCTTATTCAGGTTGGTTGAGCATGTTATTGAAGGGACAAGTTCAATAAGGAGCAGGAGGTGAAATTCCCCATAACAGACAGCTTGATTGTTGGTTTTCACAGCAAAGGTCAACTTGCTCTTCCAGCAACAAGAGGCTGTTCAATTTGGTATCCAAGATTAATGTACATGTTTCAGCATCTATTGCACCTCCATTAATGCCTCATATAAATGTGGATGAGTATGCTCCGGTGTTCAATGAAAATAGTGAAGTGGAGTTAGCATTGCCCGAAAAAACTATTTTGGTATAGAAATAAAATGATTTAAAAAAGTGAGGGGTTCTACTTTTCGCATAGGATGAAAGACGTATTCTATAACCCGAAGTATAAAAGAAAGGAAAAATAAGTTAATGCACATATTACAAAGTCCAAAACTGAAATAGCCTTTGGTGAACATATCTTTAGTTGTAAATCAAGGAAATGAAATATGATCTTGGCATTGAATATAATAAATTTGAATGATGTCATTCACTCACCGAATAGAAGTATATGGTTGAACAGTCAGAACCAACAAATCATTGAGAGGGACTGGACTCTCTCATTGCTTGCTCAAGGTTCTGTTCTTATTGGCAACGTGCGTTTGAAACAGATAACTCAATCAAGATACACAATAAAAACTTATTTTGATATGATGAATGAATGTAACAGGAGCAATGATCTACACCACATGGAGATACAAAAAAAATACATTAGAGAAAAAAAATAAGTGGCAACAAAAAATCCCGTATATATATATATATATATATATATATGTATGTATGTATGTATGTATGTATGTATGTATGTATGTATGTATGTATGTATGTATGTATGTATGTATGTATGTATGTATATATATGTATGTATGTATCTATATATATATATATATATATATATATATATATATATATACTCTGTGGAAATGGTGATCTGGTTTAGTAATACTCTGTGGAAAAATCTAATACAAATCCGTATTTCACGTTGGCTTTGGCAAGGCGTTCCATGGCGGTGTTGATATAGTCCATCGCCACAATCTCAACATTGGGTTTGATGTTATGTTGGCTGAGAAGTTAAGCATTTCTTGAGTCTCCTTTATTCCACCGATGCCACTTCTTGCAACCAGTTTTCTACCTGCGATCCACAATCACAACATGAAATTAATGTCATTTAGTTCATTTTAGATCAATTCCAAGGCAGAGCAGAGATATGTACAACACGTGAATGGAAGTGTGGCTAATATTACATACCCATGATCAAGGGAAACGCCGACAAGTCAAGGGGTTTCTCCGGGAGAACAACCAATACAAGCTTACCATTGGTCTTAAATAATCTTAGTAGTGACGTAAGAGGATGAACTACAGAAACTGTGTCTCTTACCCCATCAAGTGTGCTCGCTGTAGCCTTTTTTGCATATATACCAAAACCAAATATAAACCATATCATCATCAAAATTTATTAGCAAAATGAATAATAATACTCTCTAATTATGAATAAATTAATCATTACTTACCTGAATTTGTTCAGGGTCACGACTGATCAAGAAGGAATCATCAACAAAATGTTATATGGCCTCTTGCTTTTTGTCGGCAGAGGTGCTGATGACAGTAACTTGAAAGCCTTGGTAGAGAAGATTTGGGTCGCCGGAATTGCAGCCCTTCTCAAAGCTGGATACCCCTTTTACCTTCTACCACTCACTCTTCATGCACATTCCCTTTCACCCTTTTCTCATTCCATTGGTTCAATGTTCAAAGATCTTTTGTTGTTTATAAGTCTCCTTACTCAAGGACAGAACACAAAGGAATCTAATAGTTGTTTCTTATTTTTATTTGTATTCAAATTAAATACCAATTTATATGAATTAAGTACTGTTGAATTATTTAGAAGGTTGTAACTTCCAAGCAGTAGGCATTTAGGAGTCAATTTCAGAATTCCTTGGGGGTTATGTTGGAAAATATCTAGTGGCTTTGTGCAGCATTGATACGTTTTTGGGAGTAAACTCAATATATGAAATCTAGCAAGATAGACTCATAAATTTTGATAACACATTGAGATTAAAGTAATTTGGGTGGTAACCCAAAATTCTTTAATAAGATAAGATGTAAAGTATCTAGAACGAGTATGGATTTTGGGTGGTAACCCAAAATTCTTCATATTTGTAGAAGAAATCCAACCAGACTTGCCCAGCCCCACTGTCATAAATTGTCGCTAGGTAGAGAAGATCTGGGTCGCCGTTGTTTGGGCTTGGGCGAAATTGATGGTGGATGTAACACCCTAATCCGTCCAGGTCTGCAGCCCCATTCGGACTAAAGTATTTAACTTGGTAATCGTAAAAATTTAAACCTTTTCAAACACACTTTATTAATCCCAATAATATTTTTCAATACATATACAATACGGAGTATTCAACAATATTGCGGAAGCGATTTAAATATTGACATATCATAAATTGTTTCAACCCTCCAACCACTAACACCCCACTAATATAATAACTCCAAAGCCTTTTTTGTGTATTTCAATACTCCACCACCATCTTCATCATTATACATCATCACCATCATTCATCCATCCATCTCCTCTCCATCTCTCTCTCTGTCGGCAGAAAGCCAAGGGAGAAATGCACACCAACTCCATGAATATATGCTAAGGAAGAAGGAGAAACAAGCAAGAAACCATCCAAAGTTTCCAAAATCCTGAGCTCAAACACAGCAGCCCACTTCTAGGTAAAATATGAAATTTTTCATCCATTATCTCGAAATACTTTTTGAGCCAAAGTTGTAGCCCCGGACGATACGAATCCAGCCCAACAAACGGCTCACGATTTCGTTAAGTAACGAAGAAGATATGACCAAAATACCGGGACTGCGCCAGTGGTGGCGAGCTCCTCGGGTTGAACCATATTTCTTCACCATATTCATGTTGTTCCATTCCAAATACTTACCATAAACTCTCTAACGGTTATTAGGATCATCCGAAAGGTATCGTAGAGAAGGTTTAGTGTTGGAATATTGAAATTAATGAGTTAATCGTCGGAATCGTTGTTCGTCGACATATCCGAAATCCTGGATAGCAACTTTCCTTTGATTTCAGGTCCGATTTACGCTATTTTACATCTCTTAAATCGAAATACTTTCTATACGAAAGTTATAGCCTTACATCTTAGGAATCCACAGAATCAAACGGTTTGCAATTCCGTGAAGAAACGATGGAGATATGCTCAAAATACCGCAGGCTGTCCAATTGTGACGAGATTGACAAAGTTGGTGAATTTCGATGTTGTTTCCACTCCCGCTCATCCGTAAGGTTTCGACCGATGATTTCCAGGTCTATACCTTTGCGTTAGACTTGTCGAATCATTCATCACATAGGTACATGAACATATATGTTAATCCATCTGTTGAAATTATCCCAAAATATATATGTGATGCATATATAAGTCATCTATATGTTAAGATCAAAATACACCAAATCTATAAGGTTAATATACACATAAGTAAATATAAACTTTGGAAATCGACCCTACAATATGTATATTTCAATCAAAGGTTTTTAAAAGACTTAAAGAAATATTTTGGACCCTCAAAATATCAAGAGTAAGACTCGCATACTCAAACGGTCGACGCAAACGGTCGACCGTCGTGATAAAACTTCGAAATGAACAATGACTGTCAGCCAAACGGTCGACCGCTGGTGGCTGACGGTCGACCGTCGCCCGCCCAGCCGAGAACCGCCGTCGCCACCCAGTCAACAACGGTCGACCGCGGTTGACCGTCACGGTGATCCGCCAATCCGACCTGATGAAGATCAAGGTCGACTGTCGCGCCAAACGGTCGACCGTTCCGAGCCCCGTATCTTAATTAAATAATATTTTTATCAGATTTCATCCAAATAAAATAAAGTATATTTATCCATTCATATTGTTTACAAATTGTTCATATCATATGACTCATATCATCACACATATTGTAGAATATCATATCATGTGCATGCGTAAGAGATCATGCGTAATTGCGTCTCTTATAGCATGATGTGCGGGACTTACTAGTCCGACATCACCCGTTCCGGGCTTAGTGTACGTACATGGTATTCAGGCTTCGAGTACCACCCCTACTTTCTAGTCTCCCTTGAGAGACTAAGGCTGCGTGAGTTCGTCGTACCAAATGGGCGAATCTCATAGCGCAAGGGTGTCCTTGCTCGTTAGAATCATGCACCATGTTATTATCATCAAGTACAATTACATTGATTACATAGGCTTCATGTAATGATCATCAAGAACAAGCAAATTGATTAAATGTGCCATCATGTAATTATCATTAAATATTTTGTTGGAGTTGTGCCCTGATGGCCAACTGTTTATCGTTATTCTATCATGTATAGGCAGATATAATATGTTTACACATCTCATGCTAATGTAAACAAATATTATATTCCTAGATTTATATTTAAAAGATGTTTATCAGATAGTGTTTTTCTGCTGATGAGACTAACATCTTGAAATAAATATTTATCTA